CTCCCCCCCAAATAAGAAGTCCGCCTCATGCTGGCGCCGGTCACTCGGGCAATTTGCTGAAGACCTCCAGCAGGAGAGGCGTGTAACCTGGCTGGATATCCCAAATCTGCAGGACCTGCTTGCTGTGCTCGTCGTTCACCGTGCGCAGTTCCGTCAGGCACTCCATGATCTTCGCAAACAGGAACCTGAGAACGGCAAAGCGGAGCCGCTTACATTTCATATACAAGCAACCGGGGAGTAAAAACTCCGCCCCCTCCCGATGTCCCGGTCACCACGGCGATAATCTCACCTCGCTACAAAGTTACAGTCTGATCACTGGGGGAGGGGAGACTGAGGAAACGCTTCCTCCTGCCTGCAGCAGACTGATCACTGGGGGAGGGGGGACTGAGGAAATGATACAGAGCTCAGGCAGTTGACAAGCAGTAATGATCAGGCCTCTGGGGGGTCAGAATGTTCTCCTCAGTCCTCTCCACAACAATAATGGCGATATATCAGCTTTGGGTGGACTTGGCGGGACCGGGATAGGACTCTGGATGGGACGCGGGGAACAGTCTAGGGAAAGCTCGGCCGCTATACAGAGGTGAGGGAACACCGCTCCAGTATACGGATCTCCATAACCGCCCTTACCTGCACTCCAGAGATCGCTGCTCGGCTTCTATGTAGGACATCAGCGTCAGTGCCAACTGCTCCTGGATCCTATCAATGGTCTCATGGTCGGTGACGCCGGGGCGATCTGCAACACACAAATTGGAAGGGCCGCTGTAGGACCGACGTCACATGGGACAATGAGCCGATAGTGACAGGAGGGTTGTTCCAATGTGTAGGGGGAGCACTGATATCAGGACAGTGAGGGTGCCAGAAGAGGGGCACAGGCATTGTGGGCACGGATGGTCAGTGGTAGAGGGGCACAGGCATTGTGGGCACGGATGGTGGATATGGGGTGGTCAGTGGTAGAGGGGCACAGGCATTGTGGGCACGGATGGTGGATATGGGGTGGTCAGTGGTAGAGGGGCACAGGCATTGTGGGCACGGATGGTGGATATGGGGTGGTCAGTGGTAGAGGGGCACAGGCATTGTGGGCACGGATGGTGGATATGGGGTGGTCAGTGGTAGAGGGGCACAGGCA